GGAGGTTTCAGATGGATGATCTTGTTTTATAAGGATCATCACCCAAACACTTCACATATCTTCAATGACTTTGTTTATGAGAGTCTTGTGGCTGGAATCAATATCTGCCTGTGTATTTGACTAAATGTGCAGATGTAGGCATCTAATTAACTGTAGTGTTTACCAGACATTCATGCAGCCAAGTCCTCCTCTGAAAAATATAATTTGATAATTATGACTTGGGCTTCGCTTTGGCATAGAACAAAGCATTGCTGGGTACTTTTTAAGGCATGGCTCATCTGTGAAACACAGCCTTCTCTGTTAGGAACACAGTTTCTCCCAGCCCATGTACCTCTAAATCTGTACTCTTCTTCTCCTCTTCCTTCCCTTAAACTAAATTTCTGAAGTAATAACATATTTCTTAAAATGCTTGATCACTCTTTTTCTGTCTCCTTCACCCAGGAAGAAAACATCCTATTGACTTTGCCAGAGCTGTTGCTAAAGAAAATTTGAAGAAATACATGAAGTCAACACATGATAAAAAAGTGGTCTACATTTCAGGTTCTCTGTTGCTGTGGTTACATTGGACTCAAGAGACCAGTGTGGCAAGCAGGTCTGACTTCACTCCTTACATATGATGCATCTTGTTCAGTGACTTCCCCACTGACCACTTTTAGGAGTAACAAAAAGCCTCTAACTTACCTTTCACTTCCCAAAGACCTCTCAGAGTGACACTCATTTACCAGGCTGCTGGCATGTAGTGAGCCCCTGAGACCACATTTGCTGTCTCCTTGCAAGGCTATGCTCCCACTGATCCTTTTTGAGAGGCAGAATGGAGGAAGGGAGCTCAGCCATCCCTGGGTTTCCTGCTGCTGTGGTACCATGGCACCTTGGCTACAGGATCTTGGAAGTGGTACTGGATCCTGAACAGTCAAACAGAGATTATCCTTTCATCCCTTTTTTTTTCTCATGATACAGGAACTCAAATGAGTCTCATTTTGCATGTGAAGTACCTGATTAGAGTTTTATTCCAAAATGCTACAACACTGTGCCAAGAACCCTCTGTGTGGCGATTCACAGGAAGAAGACCTATGTGATTTCCTCCTCTCAGGAAAAATTAATTCAGTCATTTGAAATTAACAGATGTGTAAAATTAGGAAGGGCTATAATGTCCGTGAAAAGCAGGGCTTCCTTGCTGTTCTTGACTTTTTAGTGATCATCATGCCATGAAACTTAAAATAAAAGATTTCATTAATAACTACCACAGCTATGACCCAGAGAAAATTGAGCTACTCTGTTTTCTCGACAACTGGGTATCAGAATCAGCAGCAGGAGAAAAGTAACTCAATGAAATAATGGAATGCATATGGTTTCTTAGGAAAAAAATGCTCTCTGACAAAAATAAATCCATTTATCAATCAAGAAATCAGGATGTTCTTCAGAAAGCAATTGTAACTCCTTTACTAACAACAATGAACCATGGAAGAAAGGGACCATTAACTCCCACTTGTGAAGACATTAAGACAAAAAATTGCATCAATAGATAGATCCCTCCCCTGGGTTTCCACACAGCCCTCTGTATTCATCAATTATCAGCAGCTAATTGAGACTTGTATCCCTCTGTTGCCTAAAAAAAGTTTTTAACAGTTCCATCAAACCTCTTCCCTGTTGCTAGAGCTCAGATGGCCCCCTGTGACTAAACATGTTGCCTTGGAGAAGTGGTGTTTTGGAAAGGACCTAGCACTTACATTATCACAATTGCAATTACATGTTCCCCATCTACATATTGCCAGGATAAGTACTTTAACTAGACTGTAATTATCTATGTATCTGCCAAACTTCTTCATTTGAGTCCTTGCAAGCTAGAGTAAATAAGTATGAAAAAAGCAAATCATAATTTTCCAGATCACATGCCCTGCAGCAGGGAACTACTGTAACATCTTGTCTCAGCAAACCTTAGTTCATTTCCCTTGCTACAAAAGGAGCTGTGAAATACATAAAGATGAACCAGGGGATGTTAAAATATCAGTAGTGAAAATAATTATTGCAAAGCTAAACATTAGCAACTACTCATAAAGCTGTTGCAGAAAACTTTGCAGAAAATGCTGAAGATTTGGGCAACTAACCTTGTATGAAGTTCGATGAGTAGCTTCTTTCTGAAGAGGACAGTTTACCCCCATTAATGTATTTTAAGGGCCAATGAAGAAATTTTTAAAATTTATTTTAGGTTATATTACTTTGTTTACTTTGCTAGAACCTTTTTCTAATGTTCTAAGCCTCAACATGAATTCATACATAGTTTATGAATCTGTTATTTCAGCATTCTTCTTCAGATTAAATATCCTTTTCCTGCTGTTGTGTCCTTTCCTCTTCATCCCCAGTTTCCCTCCTTGAAATAGCTCCTGAAACAACATTGGCAATTGAACCTCAACTTCTGTTTCCCTGGGAAAAACAAGGTAAACTTAAAACTGCTGTTACTAACAGCTATTCTGTTCTCTTCTTCATTTTTGTGGATCTTAGGTGCTTCTGGCACAGTACCAATTTAATTTTTGCCATGTCTTAACAGGATAGAATCCATTTTTACCTTTTTCCTGCATAATTCATACTAAGCCTGTTTAAAACAGTGCCAAATGTCTTTTGGCATTTATTTTCCTTTGTGTCTTTCAGGGCTCTCTTGGTGGATGGCATTTGAACTGACATCACTATTCTTACTCTTAGCAGCTGTTCCACTTCCATATTCCAACTGGCATTCTTGTTCATCCCAAAGCATAAGTCTTGTAGATTGCATTACTGAATGCGTTACTTTTATTTTACTCCAATTCTAATAGCTGTCCAATATTCCCTTCATGTAGAATTTTGTCAAGTACTGATGATATATTCCACATTTGCATCATCGTAGTTCTTTAATACCTTTCTGATTTTAATAGATTAAAGACAACACCTACTGTTAGGTAGCTCATTTAGGTTAGCTCACTTTTTCTCTCTTCCTGGGTTAAGTTATTCTCACTCTTCACCTCAAATGATATTCTACATGGAGTGATTCTACTGCTTGAAAGAAATGCAGGGAAAGGAATGATCCATCTTCATTAATGGATAGATTTCTCTCCTAAGTTGTATAAGAGACCAGGATTTACAGTCATGCTCAGAAGTGAGCAAAGAATAGGGATTGGACTGGGTTTTTTTTTTTTTTTTTGGAAAGGGAGTCCTTTTCCTTTTCTAATTCTATTTGCTTCAGGAGAAGTAAATTTGTAAATTTACTTTTACAAGGAAAACAAAAATTTAGGGGTTTTTCATACTGAAGCTCCTCTGCCCTCTAAGTAAATTTGGAAATTCTTCCCAAAGTTTATACTCCCGTGAAAATATATTCAAATTTTTCTCCATTGGAGTGTTTGTAGAAAAAGCAAAGACCGGTGCTTTATCATAAAAGTGACACAGGTGTCTGCTGAAATGAGTACACTATCCACTGAGAATGTAAAGCAAAATCTTGGAAACCCAGGCCCCAGAAGGATTAATCTTAAACAATGACTTGCAAGCTGAGCAGTTCAATTATTAACAGGGCCGAAAATTTGCATTCTAACCAAAATGCATGCATTTTCACTCATCTAGACCTTATCATAAGGCACACTGGATCAATTTTACAGTCCATTCCTTCTAATTTCAGCTCATCAGACAAGAGGTCCAAGAACTCATTTTAAAGAATGACCTCAATACATTTTTATCATATCCTCTCCTTTAAACTCAATAGTTGGAGCGAATAGCAGTACAACCTTTTGCTACAGGACCAGGAATATCCAGATAAAAGCCAGTATGATGGAGGGAGGCAGGTTATCTTTTAATTGGCCTCTACTGTTTCATCAGCATGCCTAAAGCCATGAAGTACATCAGACTATATAGTTGTGCTGAGCAAGGGTCTGACAGCAAGTTCATCAGACTAATTGGCTCCACTCTGTGGAAAATCTAAGATGGCATTGGCTTTAAAAAGACATTTTAGCATAAATTGATATATTTGGGAAGAGCACTCCACATACCTATAGTTTTCAGGCATTTGTTTTGTATAATTTAGATTGCTTTGGGGATTTTATGTCGTTGCCTTTTTTTCCCCCCAGATATACTGGGAGATACACATGGACAAAAGACAGCCACAGAAAATATTGTTCCAAAAGCACATAGCTTGACAAAAATCTTGACAAGAGGAAAGTTTGAATAAAAGGGGAAAAAAAACCAAGATAGAAAAACCTGCTTTTCATTAGATTTGGGGAAATGTTTTGGGTTTGGGTTTTGGTCAATGTTTTAAATCAATTCAACTAAGAGCTGACTTACTGCTAGTTTGAAATTGGGAGCATGAACATACTCGACCCTTTTCAACCTGTCATTACCTAACTACTGAGGGTTCTTCACCTGCCACCAAAGGAGAACTAACATTTGACCTACTCCTTAGCTCTTTGAGTCTCCAGGGTTACATTTTACCATTAACTGTTGTGTTTGAATTTGCTTTTTTCATTTGTCAGTTATATTTTTGCCTCTCTCTAGTTCTTGTCTGTGGCATGCTTTAAAATAATCTGCTTATTTTCCAATACTTACTGCAGAGGTTATACAGAGTTCAGCATTGTGGGAAAAGTATTGATGTTCAGTATATATTTGCATTCATGAGATTGAGCTACTTTGTCATGGATGGATGGATGGATGGATGGATGGATGGATGGATGGA